AGTGGGATGCCGTAGAGAAGGGTAGATGGACGCATCGTCTCTTACCAAAGATCGACATTTGGCTAAACCGGAATCACGGTGAGGTCAACTACTACCTAACACAGATGTTGTCAGGACATGGCTGCTTTCGGGCTTATCTTCACCGCTTTAGGCATGATGACTCTCCGGAGTGCCCGTCCTGCCCTGGAGCCACTGAAGATGCAGAGCACGTTTTTTACGAGTGACAATTCAACCAGAGTCAATCGTAGAAGCAATGCTGTCTTCAGAAGCTGCCTGGAATGCAACGAACACTTTTGCCACAGAAGTGCTTACAGAGCTGCGTTCCATCGAGAGAAAAAGAGCAAAAGACAGAACCTAGAAGGAAGAAAACATCTTAGCCACCAGAAGGAAGAGCGGCAGCTAATTCTTCCCCCCGCGAAGAAATGCTTTACGGCGGTACCATGGGGGATCAGAGGATAGAAGAGAAAGGGGTTTAGGGTTTAGTGGGTAGGGGCGTCAGCGTCAAGTTTTAGTATGACGCTGCGTCGAGTCGCCACATATCCGGGCCAACATCTATGCCTAGAATCCGTAAAAAGGATTCCCCCCCCCTAAAAAGAAAAAACACACACACACACACATACACATACACACACATACACATACACACATACATACAGACATAGTGACACCCTCGCGGGAATAGTCAGGGAAGCTTCCTAGGACCTCAAAACGTCGAGATATGATGAAAACTCGATTTTCGAAAAACGGGGTAAAACCAATAACTTCCCGATTTTTGAAAATTTTCAATTTTCTTAACGGGAAGTTAAAAATAATTTTTATGAATTTTTAAAAGCCCGAAAAATTGTCTATTTCCTTTCAATCAACTCAGAAATAAAATATTAACATCCATATTTTTCCACCGTCTATTTTTTTCCAGAATTAAAAACACAAATCTGAAATTTTTCTACAATTTAGACTTGATTGAAATCGCCTCGAATTTTTCATATCTTTGAATACCTTTATTATCTACTGACTTTGGCTATTTCGCATTACTTTACGTAATATAACAAAATCCAGAGTTGCCATAGGTACAGTAATCTTTAATCTACAAGTTAGAAATGATAAATAAATAATTTCAAGTGTATTAACGTTTTTTTAAGTAGTATTATATCTTCAATTGCTTCATGTACCACTACTGCATAGGAATTCGGATATACTTAATTGATCGGTTGCATTAAAATAGAATTATACGAAAGTATTTTGTGTATTGAGCCTGCAGTGTCTGACGAGTAAGTAAAATTTGAAACGAATAAAAATGACCCGTCTTGTAGTATCTGAAAATACACATGAAATAAAGTGAAATTATTAAAAACAAATATGAAACTAAACAGATTTCCACTTCCATGTTTTAAAAACCAAATATTCCGAGATAGAAATGGCTATAACATCATAAGATGCGATTTCAGTAGTTTGTTAGTTTATAAAATCTACAAATGAAAACTATATTTATGTATTTGAATCCTTGAGCAATCAAAAATAGGAAAGAATAGACAAATTATTATTAAAATATGTGATGATACAATGTGTGTTCAAATTAGTCGTACGGCATACGCAGAATCCTCGGCAATATGCGATAAAAATAATAACTAATATTCAAACAGTAAAGAATTGCTAAAACTTAAAAAATTTTTAAGCAGTACTTAGTTCATTGTAATTGAACTGCAGAAGTTCTGTATCGTATTGATACGCACTAGAAAATTTGAGTAATATAGTAGCTATAGATATTTGTTCGACGCTCGAAAATGTATCAGTGACAATATTGTTGGTACCTGACACGTGTCGAATATTAGTCATGAAGTGGAGTCTTCGGAACTATCAAAGTAATATTCTTTCAGTGCATTTCTTGTAAACTTGCTGCAGTGGCTAGCAGTGGCTAACAATCGGTATGAATAATTTCATACCAATGTTTTTGAAGTTTTTGGATTCACGGACAAAAATCGCCTTTTTTCATATACTTTCTGTTATAAAACTGCACCAATTTCAGATATAGATGATTTAATATGAATTATCCATTCATCTTCGGTTTTTGAGTTAATCAATACCGTTACTTCAGCGAAGACATGTTTTTCCACCTTTATAGTTTCTTCAAGTTCAGGTATCCTTTGCGACTGATCTTTCCAGGATTTTTTTTGTGTGTAAATTTGTAAAAATATTACAAAATTAAACAAACTAAATAAATATTTTTTTAAGGAAATATATAAAAAAGTAATTGAATAAATAAAATAGATCATTTTTGTGGATCAATTAATTTCTCGGCAAAATATGTATTCGAAACAACTATATTTGATAAGATTTTGATTTTAAAAAATGGTGTACTCATGTCTTTATTTATTACTCTTTGCTACTATACCGTTTTTTAAAAGAGGTATTATTATTAATTTTTTGAATATTTATCTAATTTTGTTTTTTTTTTCTTTTTAGAAAGAGCTTGAGAGAGCCAGATTGGAGCAAGAAAATGCTACAACAGCCAAACAAAATCTAGAAAAAAGACTTCAAGACGAAAGTATGAGTTTACACACGTCGTATTCAGATTTAGAAGTTTCACAATTAAAATCTGAAATCGAGGTTAGTAGTTTTAAAAGTATAAAATAAATTTTCACTGTACCTGTACCGAAGTTTCAATCTTTGCTCCGTTTTGAGGAAAAACAAGATTACATTTTTTACTTGAGGGAAAACTAAAAAATTTCCTAACAAGAATTGAACTAGTTCAAATTGATACGGTCACTATGCTTAGGTACAATGAAAGAAAGTTTGGTAAATTCAAACGTACATGCCTTATAAGCGCTCATATTTTGTGTACACAGAAAAAAATGTTCAATTGAGCCAAGAAAATATTTTTCTCCCTAATTATTTTCTTGAGCGAAAAAAAAATTTTTTTTTGACACAAGAAATTTCACTTATTCCAACAAAATTAATTCTCTTACTTTAAGAAATACGTATCCAAGAAAATTTATTTAAGTCAAGAAAATCTTCTTGTTTTGAGAAAATTTTTCAGCCTTTTGCTCCAAAAAATTTAGTTCTTGATAAAGTAAATTTTCATTAATATTTTTATTAATTTTCATTAATATTTTTATTAATTTTCATTAATATTTTTATTAATTTTCATTAACATTTTTATTAATTTTCATTAATATTTTTATTAATTACCACAACTTCGGTCTTCCTTGATCCACATGAAAATTTTCTTGAGCCAAGAATTTTGTTCTCCAGTCAAGAAATTTTTCTTTCTGAGTAAATATTTTGAATTCATTTTTAAACTTTTTTTACATCTAATAAGGATTAAAAATCAATAATTTACTAATTTTTAAATATATTTTGCATTATGTTCATTGAGTTAGAAAATAAATGATAGTATTGTTGTTATTTTAAATTTATAATAGATTTTTAAAAGATAAGTAAATTTTACCCTACTCGATAAGATATCATCACGTCATCAGCAATACGAGGTGACGAACAAATATATTTTTTATTATAATAAAATCGATTTTCAAAACAAGGAAATTATATTTCCACTAAACTTAATTAACTAATTTTTTTTATAAAATTTGACACACTTTTATAAAATCTAAATAGTAAAATTTCATAAAATTTTATCAAATTTTTTCCCGGGTTCTTTACAAAAAGTTATGAAATCCCAAAAAATAAACAGTTTCACTGTAATAAATTGCGCCTCGCTCACTTCCACAAGAATATGAAATAAAAATTTATTCTTTACAAAAAGATATAAAATAAACTAATGATTTTCAAACATCGAAAAGAATTTTGCTGCAATTATAAAATTAAACGAAAATTTTTTTGTACGTAATTGGTGTGTGCTATTGAGTACCCCAAATTTTTTCAAGTCTGATACCTAGTTTAATGTTTACAAATTTATAGGTAAGTAGATTCTCAGAATTACATAAAGAGTAAAATATTCTGAAACTACGCACACCAAGCACCTACGTTCAAAATGTTTTTTTTTTTTTATTTTTTTTATTTTTAAAGTTGCAACAAAATTTTTTTCAATTTTAGAATATAACGTTTACTTGTATTTTTTTTATTTTATATCTTTTTGTGAAGAACACATTTTTTTTTTCTTTTATTAGTCTTGTGAATGTGGACGTGGCGTGATTTGTTACAATAAAGCTGTTTTTGTTGGGATACCCTTACTAACACTCGCACCTATTCCGACCCAATAACCAAAGTTGCAGTGCAGAAGTTGCTATCGAATGATTGGTGTCCATTATATGTTAAGCTGATTACATATCCAGAATTTTTAAATATTGCTGTTAGATTGACATAAATCTGCTGACGCAGTTTGATGTCAGTGTGAGACGAAGATTGGTGGCAAACTGACTGCAAAAATTGGAAAGCCAGAATCTGCTGTCAGTCTACAAATAGCCATCAGTGTATGGCGTTTTGGCTTAGCCTAACTTAGCCATATGTTATTAATAAAACAGAAAATTCTATAGTTTCTGTCAATCTGTATACAGTTTGCAACCAAATGTTACGAATAAATTTTTGCAATCCGTCTGTCATCAATCTGCTCTTCAGGTTGACACCAAACTGTGTCAACAGGTAGATGTCAGTTTGCTACCAAGTGCAAACATCGATTGGAACAGTTCAAGTTTGAACTCAAGGTTTCTAATATAAAAACAACTTTATTTTTTAGATGTTAAAAATGGAACTACAACGCGCTGAAGGAGAATTAGAAGATCGCTGTTGGTCACCACCAGTTGGACTGCAGCACTGGTTACAATTAACTCATGAAATTGAAAATAAATCTTATACAAAGAAAAAAATATCTGCAGAGAAGCAATTGCAACAAGCTCGAGAAGCAGTAAGTATTTTTACAGAACAATAATTCAACAAAAATCAGAAAAACGGTCCACATTTTTAAACGTACTTAATTCTGAAAGATCGACTACAATATTAAATTTTTTTTAACTCTTCGAGATCAGAAACATATCTTTCCTAAGTATTATCACTAGCGATATGAAATGGCCATTAATTTTTACTTCGGTGAAATTACAAACAATTAATGAGCATTCACACTTTCAGTTTTACTGCGAATTATATGAAACAAATTTTTTTCATGTCAAAGTTGTAACGAGAAATATCTTCTTCTTGAGCTAAAATCATTCAAAAAACTCACAACCATACATTCAAGCCATATTTATTGATTTTTATTTAAAGTAATATTTATTTCTTCAATTTTGTTTGTCGCGGCGCCAATTGGCTCAATTGCAAGTAAGAATACTGCTACTACAATTTATTGATTCTCATATTAAAAATCATTAGACTTACTTTTCAAAGAAATAGAAGTATTAAGTTAAATCGAACTTCAATATTTCTCGGTGATTCCAAACAAGTTATCACCCAGCATAAGATAAATGGTTACATAAAAATGAAAAATAATGCCACTTAAAACATTGAATTTTAGATTTCCTATTCCAAAGTTCGAAGATTTTATAAAGGAATATATTGTTAATTTTTCTATCAATTTATGTTAGCTCAATGAGAATGAGTTAGTGCACGCCTCAAAAAGCAAACGCGTATGAATAGACATGTATCAAGATAACACTCTAAAGTTACAATCTCTAAGATGATAAGTAATCCACCTTATATTTTATGAAAAATTATTTTATGTAGCTAAGGTAAGAGCCCCAGTAGCTGCTCATGTATCAGTACATGCTCACTCCATGTGATTGTATATCTATATTCACAAATATAGATATACAAATAATATACAAATAGATATACAGCTGATAAAGAAAAATGTTGAAAATTTCCAACATTTTAAATTCTTGTAACACGAATGCTCTTTCTTCTCACAAGCAATTTTTTCTCTGTGTATGAAGAAAAACTTCACAAACTTATAGCATAACAAATTTTTTTGGAATAAAATTAAAGCCCTCCACTAGTTGGAATCAATTTCTCATATGATTTAAATAAAAAATGTTTTTGAGAAATCTCATCCTACAAGTTGGATAATATTTAATTCCATTTCAGATGAAACGATCGACTTATCAAATTTGCTATGCGTTGTATATATTTAATTGGTTTAAGTTATTAATGATTCAAAGTATTGTTCCTTTTCATTTCTATATAAATTTTACTACGGCATAAATCTTGAGTTATGCTTACATGTTAATTCCCACTATAGAGAGCTTGTCGATAATCGCTGAAAATATTTTTATTTTAATAGATCGATTTATTAAAGTACTACCATCAGTTGTAGAATTTAAAGGTGGCATGTTATAGAAAATATTTCATCAGAGTATCGCAATCAATGACTAGTTCGTGAACTAATATTAGAAATCGTTTAATAATTAGTAATCATTTTCTTATAATACATTTAAAAACTTTGAAATAATGAATATTTTCTCTTTAGTGTGAAAAATTACGCAAAAAACGATCAAGTCTAGTAGGAGCATTCGTATCGACTCATGGAAAATCAATTGATGAAGTTGACAAGAGTATTGTTGAAGCAAGAACGGCTCTGAATGAAGTGACCGCTGAATTACAGGAACGGGTACATCGTTGGAAACAAATCGAGCTACTCTGTGGATTCAACATTATCAACAATAACGGATTGAGTTATCTTGAAAATATTTTGTATCGTGGCGCGCCAAATGGACGCAGCTTAGCATTACGAGGTAAAGATGATTCATATTTGTTTTTCATTTAAACATCATAATTTTTCAATTTAGATATGTAGTATGAAACTTGAATCCTCAAAAATAAACTTCAGACTCCGTAATAAGAAAGCAAAGAATTCAGTGCTCAACAATATCATTATTAAGAAAAACATAATTTGAACGTGATTTAGAATCTCAAACCAATCCTATGTAATTCCAAAGCCCATTTTTAATTAGAATATAGAAAACTCCCACGCAGCTGAAGTCTTATCACAATCCAAATATATTCCCTTGCTATTTATATTACCGCAGTATTTCATCTGATGCCTTTTCTAACCCAAAACCGTGTTGTGCAAAGCTTTCTGTCACAGTATTAATTTCATACAGGTAAACATAAATATGTTAACACATGTATAGTTAACTAGCTCAATAAGATTACCCATCAAGCATTGAAACTAATTTTTTTTCTTTCCCACTACTGTTGCAATTTTTTGATTTATCCATTCGTGAATAAAAAAAAATATCCAGGGTAAATGCACCAGTAGTTGACCGATTAAGAGTTTTCAGATTTTGAATTTATCAAAAATTAATTTCTACAGGGTTAATGATGATAGTTAACATATTATATCATTTATTAATAGATAAGTTTCAGATATGTGATGTCATTAATGAAAATTCCATTAATATTTGCTTCAGAATGTAGATCAGAGGAAAATACTAATAATTGATTGGTGTGATCCAATAGTTGACCGCGAAATGAACCAGTAGTTGACCGATTAAGAAATTTCGATAATTTTATCAATTTAAATCGATTCTTTATGTTTAATTTTTTATCTGTATATTTTATTGTTCTACTAAGCTACACTTACATTATTTATCAATATAACTTTTTTTTAGTTTATAAAAACACATGACAGTATAACATACTAGCAGCCCTCCCCGGCTTCGCATGGGTATTTAATAAAAATTTCAAAATTAAAAATTATAATACACACACATAAACTCTTCTATTTGCGTCATAACTTAGGTTACTAAAAAAAAGAAAACTATAAAGAAAGTTTGAATATTATTATTTTAATGATTTATTTTGTTATTATTTTTTATTTATTTTTTTATTTTTTAATAAGTATTTGATTATTTTCTTTATTTCTAATTTTTGTAAAAATATCATACATACAAATAAAAGAGCAGGATGAGCGGCGACCACGCAACTTTTTTCTAGTACTTACATTTTTAAACTCATGATATCTTTCGAATGAAATGTCCGAATTGAATAATTCAAAAAGTTGTATAAAGGTATTGCAGCAGTCTTGAATATGAAGTAATTTATTTTGATAAGGATTAATACCAAGATACAAATAAAGAGCCTTTTTTAGCGGCATTTTAATTAAATTCTTAAAATAAAAGAACACTTATTGTGGCATAACTATAATAGTTAGACATATGCTGTCGCGACACTTTTTGTAAATAATGTGTTCCACAAAGTCGTAGTACATTATTTTATTCTATCATCAATAGTTTTCGCAACGCATGCGATGCAAAAAATATTTTAGGTAATTTTTTTACACTTTAGGTTACATTATTGGTGTTTTAGTAAGAATCCCTAATTTTTTGTACATGTTTAGTACGAATATTTATTCGCTAATACTTTCATCATCGAATTTATTTTGAACTCCTTCATTTCTTGGTTTTCGAGCACGAATTTCAATATTTTTTTTTTTTTTTTTTTTTTTTTTAGTATGAAGATCTTGTTGTTTTCGCTTTTTTTAGTTTCTTTTCTTCGTTTGCTTATGTAACTTTAATTGTTTTGCTTCTATTTCTAGTTGAATTTTTTTCATTTCTAATTCGTAATATTGCTGTGACATTATGGCGAAAATCTTCTTTTTTTTTGTTAGTGGATTTTATAGAAATCTAACTATTGCATTCATCCTTATGACGAAACGGTTGAAATTTTTCTATTTTTCGACTCAGCTTGACAAACTAATTCAGAAAATACATATGATTCAATAGTTTATTTATATGTTGAAGATGAATATCGAGAAATAAGGACCACCATATGTGGAAAATTTTTTTATATATATGTATGTATTTATACATAATGCGACTTGTCACGACGCCAGCGTTTACAATTCTCAATAGATCCTAATGAAATTCATTATAGTTATTCTTTGGAAGATTTTCGAGGTAAAATTTAAAGACGAGCTAAATTGATTAATTCGTTTAGAAATGACAGTTACTTAACATTGTCAAAAACTTCTAAAAATCACATTTCTGTAGATTCTTCTTGACATAACTTTTGATTGCAATAACTTATTGAATTTCTGTAATTCGCAACTGAAAGCTCATGAAATACGCTTCAATTTTTATAAAGAAGTCAATATACGAATTGAATCCCGGTAAAAATAGACGGGAAAAAATAGACCTGGAAAAAATAGACCCGGAAAAAATAGACTGGAAAAAATAAACTCGGAAAAAATAGACCCTACAGTAATACATTTAAAACAAATTTTATTAATGAATTTGAACAAAGTCTTAAATCCAATAACATTTAAATCCAGTAAATACCGTTATTATTATACGAATACTATTTTAATAATACTATTTATTTATTTAAGTAATTTATTTTATAACATATACTTTGCAACTTACTAATCTTAACATCAAATGTAACAATATTCTACACAGTAGAATGGTTTGAATGTGCGTTTTATTCATAAATAGACCAACACAAACGCGGGTAATGGTGTTGTGCCCTTTTAACATGGTTTGAATGTGTGTTTTATTTATAAATAGGCAAACACTCTAGGACAAGAAACTTACCAGTTTCAGTTAATTAATTATACCCTTAGAATCATCAAATAATTCCTCAGCTTGCTTTTGTTTTACGTAGTTTTTTAATCCATCAAATCACTCCAAAATATTTTCTTTTGTGATAGAAGCTCGAGCGTTTGAGAGTGTTTCGGTATTTTTTAAAGCTATATCAGAATGTCTGTGTAGAAGTAAAAAAAATTATTTTTTTCCTGGCATATTATTAATAAAAGGATTAGGACATTTATCATCAATTAAAAATTTTTGTACTGCATCCTTAACATCTTTAGAATGCATCGAAAAGCCAAGTCTAGCTTTCTCGATTATCTATTTGAATGATCTAGTTATTGATAAAGAATATGAGGGCCCATTTTTGTTTCATGAGGAATACTTCCATTTATAGTTTTTATACTTTTCTGGGTTGGAAAATTTTCATATATAGATATATCTGCAATTATCACTGTTATGAATAAATAACACATACTTATATTTACTTGAAACATCAGCTGAATTCGGTAGTCATAGTATTTAATACATAAAAATGATAAAATAAGTTATTTTATTATTATTACGACATAGTAACTGACCGATTCAAGTCAATTCGCAAGGAGAATAATTGGTTGCGTAACAGTTCAACCGAAGACAAAATAACCGCGACAAAATAACCGTGACAAAATAACCGACGACAAAATGATCGAACGACAAAATAACAAAAATCCGTGGTTATTTTGTTTGTGTTTATTCAAAATTAGACCAACACAAACGCGGGTAATCGTGTAGCGCCCTTTTAACATGGTTTTTGTGTGTGTTTTTTCGAAATTAGACCAACACAAACGCGGATAATCGTGTAGCGCCCTTTTAACATGGTTTTTGTGTGTGTTTTTTCGAAATTAGACCAACACAAACGCGGATAATCGTGTAGCGCCCTTTTAACATGGTTTTTGTGTGTGTTTATCCAAAATTAGACCAATACAAACGCAGATAATCGTGTAGCACCCTTTTAACATGGTTTTTTGTATGTGTTTATTCAAAACTAGACCAACACTTGAGCTTTTTATCGTATGCGCTAATAAATAAAGTACGAAAATTTCATACTGAACATTTGAATTTTTTGTAAACATTCCTATAAATGGTTATTTTGTCGTCGGTTATTTTGTCGCGGTTATTTTTTCTGCGGTTATTTAAGCGTGACACCGAATAATTTACATGAATTATTTTCGGCGTTGTAGAAATTACGCAGTAGATTGCAAAGTTACGCGTACATTCTTAAATGCGCTACCATCAGCTGTAGCCCCTTACATTTTGCTGTGCTGCAGATACTTTAAACGCGTTTGGAAATGTATGCTATGAATAATGATTATTATTATTATTATAAGTTGATATTTATTCAAATAATATTTTTGAAACTATAACAAATTTATTTACTATTAATTATACAATATTAATTAAACAATCGGTCTACTACTGGTGCATTTACCTTATTTATTTTTATATTTATCTTATTATTTTGTTTTTTTATTTTTATTTTTTCAGGACGAATAAGCAGTAGTCAAGACGACCTAGATGATGACGGAGGTTCATTGTACGCACAATCAATTTCTGGTGCAGCAGGTAAGACGGAAATGGATACCCATGAGCACCTCGATTAACCCTTAGTTAGTGTTTTTTATTTTTTGTAATTCGTTTGTAAAGTTTGTTTTTGTTATATTTATATCGTATTATGAAATAATACGTATACTTTCATATTTATTTTCGATATTTTTTTTCGTTTTTTTTTCTCCAAAAAAATATTCTTTTTATTAGTAATGTTTATGATTAGTACATTTTAATTATTTTTTCAATCTCTTAGGAAGATCGGAGTGATTCCAATAATTGTTATTTTTTGCAATAAAATCGTACATATATGTATATGAACTTATCTTACATGACAACAAGTAAATTCGGTTTTTACTTTTTATAATTATAGTAATTATAGATTTGCTAAAGTTAATAGAATTTTATTATAGGGTTATTAGAATAACAATTTTTTAAATTTATTCTTTTAGTTTTTTTTAGATAGATCACTTATATGTTATCAAATTTTATTTGTTATACCTTGTTAAGCAACTGAACAATTAAATTAGTAGATTATATAAATTCTAATTAAAACTATTTGTTATTTATTTCTCAAACATCAATATGAAATGTCAAAAATCATTGATTCCTCTTATTTTTTTTTTTAATAATAATAATAATGCGGGAGTTTGATCTATTTATGCTTTTTTAATATTTAATGGAAAATTTTCTTTTTTGAGGCTTTGCATATGAATTACCCTGAAAAGTTTATAAATTTTAATATTTCGCAACATATTTAAAAATTAAGTTTTTTTTTTTGTAGTTCATCATATATTAGAAAATATTGATGATAAGAAACTGTGATAGTGAGATCTATACTCGGCTGCCATTGCGGCAGTTTTTTCAAACATAGTAGAGCTAAGTTAAATTGAAATGATAAGAAAATAAACCCCTACTGAAACATAGATGCGATCAATTAATTTTTTTCAAACGAAAAACGAACTACGAACCTACGACTAATACCTGGATCCTAAAAGATGATACATTTCGTGTAGATGTACCCGTTTTCTTTTTTAAATTTAATCATTGCTTAAGCATGAGCCCGTGGATTCAAAAATTCATGTCGAGTGGGTATCAAACATCAAACCAATATCGTTACGAGATTTAACCTTTTCGAACCTTACCCATAAGTAATGGGAAGCTTGAATAGATCCGCCCATGATTCCAAATAATTTATGTCAGTGGCGCGAGCCACTAACATACAACTTTTAGTAGATTTTCTAAAAACCCAAATTGTGCGCTTGTCTCAATGTTTTGACTTTCAAACAAATTTTTCATTTTTTGTCTCAGCTAATTGAGTTGATTCGAAGATAATTTGGTTTAAAAAATTTATCTATACGATACAATATATACGGGTTATTCCACAACAAATTGAGAGTTTAAAAATTTTTTATATTGGATTTCCTAATTTCTTTTTTACCCGTTGAAAAACACTGTCAGGTAAGTTTTAAGATTTTTTGAAAAGATATAAATGACCGTTAATAGATCCCACTTTTGAGTGGGCCAGTACCAGTGCAGTCAGATCATGAGTAAAAAACAGCACAAAGCGTAATATCGGGAACTAGAACGATGTCTTCATACCTATCTAGAAAGTACCCGTTACCACAAGACCAATAAAAGTGACAAAAGGTTTAGGCTAATCTACCTATTATGCAAAATAATCTGCATCAGTAATGCAGGCTGCTAAAAGATGGTGAGAAGCAACTTCTTTTCGCCACTTTATGTGGAGCTTTCTCTGCTTTTAATTTAATTCTCAAACAGGCTATCCGTCTTTGTTGCACTTGTACGGTAAATGGAAACTTAAAAATCAATATTATCGTTATTAATTAGAAATCAATAAAAAGGTGCTCTGCTAGGAAGTAGAGATTTTTTTTTTAATTTTCATTTATTTAGTAGAAATTTATGAAATTGCAATGCTAGGGAACGTCTTTTAACAGAATCTCCATTTAATAATCTAGTTTTTGAATAGTCACATACACCCATGCATCTAATTTAATAACCCATCAGCACTCCTATTATGAGTATTTTATTCACGTTTATCTTAAAGCGCTAATAAGTTTATTTTTCAAATGGAAATGATCAGTAAACTTTTTTCAATCTTCAAATGATTATAAGTCTGTAAGAAATATTTTCTTCGTGCTCCCCAGAAAAATATAAGCATTTTGCTCATCACGGGACTAAAGGCGTAAATTTCAAAATCGCATGTCCGGTCATTGCCGGTGTCGCTTTTAAAACTGTCATCTTAAACACCTTCTACTACGGAGTTTTGTTAAAGACATCAAATACTTAACAAAGCCTCTGAGGAGAATAAATTACAGAGGTTTTAAAAAAGGATAAATTTTACACCAAAGCTCCTATCCTTGAACAGAATGGAAATAAAAAATGAATGTGTCCATGTCATTTCGCGTTTCAGATGCCATAAAAGCGTATATCGGCAAAAGGTACCGGTGAAAAGCCATAAGGGCGCATAATAAATTTTTTTTCGGGAATCGACGTATATTTTCGTCCGAAATGTGCAGAAATGCAAAAAAAAAAATTTTATACGCCCTTATGGTTCTCGGTACCCACCTCGAATGACATAAGGGCGTATAATTTTTATACGTCCTTATGTCATCTGTAACATGATTTGTCTAATTCACAATTTAATGACTCTGTAAGCAAGCTTTAGTGCAATTGACAATATTTAGCAGAGCCCGTACGAAGAGGTGGATCCGTAAGGCATTATTTTATACATCAATTTTTTGTAAATCCATAAAATCTTTGCATCTACGTACCCTCCCATCTTGATATCCAAACGTAGATATTACGTTAATTCATTGAATTAGCGTTGATTTGGTAAAAAGTTATATGCAGAACGGCATTAATTTTCTTTCATTTTCAATTCGCTTTCATGTAGAAACGAGACCCGCCAAATTGAGGCAAGTTAAACTCAATTTTGAACTCATAGAAAAAGAGCCAAATAAAGAAATTCAATTTACTACAAAATTTCCATGGTGGTAGCATGTAATATGCTTTGTTACGCCTATTTATCAAAATTTTACCAACAGTAACCTCTTATTGTAGTGTATGAAATATTATTTATTTTTCATTTTTATCATTTCGTCAATCGTATTTTTCTACGTCTAACTTGCACTGTAGTAATTCTTTACAAGTTCAATTGTGTTTAGTTGCGATTCTCCGCTTTAATGACCACCAAAAGGTTAATTTTTTTATTTGATAATGCAAAAAAAATGAATAAATCTAAAATATAATTGTAAGTAAATTTTTATTTTCAGGTGGCTTAGAAAATATTAGCTGGAAGGAATCATCTTTACCACCAGATTCGTCAAGTAGTGAAACAGGAAAAGAAACACCACCAGAAGTACATTTTACATTAGGAGATGATGATTCAACACCACTGTCATCATCTAAAGCATCATTAATTTGTGATAAATCATCAATAGCTCGTTCATTTAGTCAAGATGCAAATATTTCGACTAATGATGATACTAGAAACAGTATATCATCATTTTCGAAGACTTCACTTTCTGATAATTCACTTTTGGATTCTTCAGATAAAAAAAGTCAAAAGAGCTTGCGTGAGTTACCAACTGTCATGGCGGTTGATGATGAAACGCAGTCAACCGACTCCAATTCAACTGCTGACAATGATGAATTAAAACGACGACGAAGAAAATTATTTCCCGCATTCAGAAAGAACAAAGGAAAAAACACGTGATTTTTAACACAAATTTCAATAAAATAAATTCAATTGATAATAAAATTAGCGCTTCCATTAAAACTTGAGCCAATTTTTTTTTTTAGAATTTTTAATGTTGATTATGAATTTAAAAATAATCAAAGTTTTTTTGCAAGTGCAATTACCAAAACTTTAAGCAATAATTTACTTTAATTCAGTAAAGAGAGTGTAAAATTAACTTATTAAAATGATTTGACCGTCGTGTTTTATTAAAATTCTAAAATTTATTAATTTTAACCGAATTTGTAAATCAAAAATATTTATTTTAAATTTCCAAAAGAAAAGATTTTTTTATCTTACTTCAAATAGAATTAACTCAAACGTACGTAAACTTTTTACATAGGTTTTGGTAATGTCATGGAAATAAATACTTATTCGCATACGTGATATTATGTATAATCGTTACAATTACATCTGACTTTATTAATGATCATGATCATAAAATAGTTATTCTGGTGAGCAACGTAAAAAAAAAAGTTGATAATGTTTGCAAGCATTTTGAATAATTTGGAATTTCAATTTTGTTGAAGGTAAATAACCGTTTAATAAAATTGTTTCAAATCTTCTTGGGAAATCATAACTTAGATATAAATAGACCAAATTTGTTCAATTTTCAAGATCAATAAATAAACCTACAAAGCTTCCATTGATCTTTAAGATGGAATAAATAGTTTACACAAATCTAATCAATTATTTCCTATAACATTATAGAGTAATTGTACTAAAAAGTAGGTTTTTAAATAATTCATATAAAATTTATGGTAATAATTAAATTATAAAGAGTTGTACCTCGTAATTTCGATGAAAATGACAATATAAATAAGAAAGATTTTCTTCTGTGAAAATATTAGGATACATCGATTTTGATTTTAAAACATAATCTTGGTAATAGGTAAAATTGTCTGAAAAAAAAAAAAAAAAAAAAAAAAAAAAAAAAAAAAAAACCATTTGCAATATAATATTAAATTGATAAGTACTAAGAGATATTTATAAACTTAGTATTAATTTAATTAATATAATGTTTATAAGTTATCAGTAAGAAGTTTAAAATAATTGATTCTAATAAATAATTGTATATTGAAAAAAATAAAACATTATTCTTTTAATAGAACGGCATTCTCATTTGTACAAATAAATTGTAAAAAATTGTACATAAGAGAGAGTTAATTTCAAAATCACCGCATCGAAATATATGATAACTTTTAATAACTCAAGATAAAACTTTGTATTAATTTATTCTTGAAAAAGCTCAGAATTTCTGGTACAAACTAAAATCAGAAAATGTTACTCAATTTTTAGCATGGATTTTTTGTAAAAATCCGGACATTTAGTTGCTTTCGACAATTTAGATGGAAAAATTGTGAGAATTATAATTTTGCATGAGAGTGAATGGGGAAGGTTATTTCCCTTTTCCATATTGAAAAATATAGAAGTATGCAATTATTTATAGAGATTCTCTGAGTAAAAAATTCAGTGCCGATAGCTTCCCACATAAATTTTTATCAATAGAAAGTATTCTTTCATAAATGTTTAGTATAATTTTATATTTCTATTAAGCTTCCGATTTGGAATGTTACGAATCTCCGTATTTATATGAATGGATTGTTAACTGAGTATTTTTGAATAAAAAACACAAATTTTCTGAAGAATCTCTTTTTTTTGAAAGATATTTTGAAAAAAATTTTATAAAAATTCTATGTAAATATAACTTTGAGAAAATACATCTTTAGAACTATGTGCGTAGCTAATTTCCTTAATTTAACTTAAATAAAAATATCTCTTTTTTTCTTTTGTACTAAGTTCGTTACCGCACATTTGGAAATGAGGGATGGACACTCCTTAGCAACGGTTACCATGGCAGCAGTTACCATGAATTTTTCATCTAATTACTTTCAATTTTTGTTAATTTATTCGACTGTGCTTGTTATTGTATAATTAAAATATAGCGAAAAAAAAACTTTATTTCAAACAGGTATCTCGCTAAACTTCTTGTTTCTTATTCAACTTGTGTGCTTCATAAAGGTTATATATAAAATAAAAATTAAAACAAAAAGTTACGGTGCTGTTTAAATTTAAATGTTAGATGCAGCTTAAATTTTATGTACTATTTATTCACACTCATTGTTTTAAAATTAATAATTGGTAAATTTACCTTAAGTACGTATCTAATATTTGTTAACTTTTTTTGATTAAAAAAAAAAAAAACAAATTTGAAAAACGGTTGATTCTACAGGCCATCCCAGATGCTTTCTCTGCTATTTTCAAGTTCAAAAGTCTGAAAATTTGCTTATTATGAAGTTTTGAGTTTCTGGAGCTTATAAATTTAAGTTTCATGTATTTCCGAGCTCAAAAATCTATAAGTTGCATTGGTAAAATACTTTTGTTTTAATTTTGAATTGCGATATCTCCGAACGAATTAACGGATTTTGATGCGGCATGCAGTATCCGACGAAGTTTTTTTAAGCACAAAAAGATAACTCATTACCAAAGAAAACGATCCGTTGAGAAACTTAGAAATAATTTCAAAAAAAAAACTCTTGCAAAATTTTTTATTGATCATATTTCCCGAACGAATCAACTGGGTAAGACGCACACACACATACACGCAAAAGATAATAGGACATCGTAGAAATAGTTAAATATTAAAAATTATCCATTCTTATTGTGAGAAGTTTAAACAGAATGAATTTTACGCTTACAAACCGTTTAATTTGATAAACTTGAGTAATTTTGTTTTAACTTTATAAATATTTTATGTTCTTTACAAATATTAATTTTGTTTCATTGTTTAGTTGAAAACCTTGTGTAGAAACGTATACAATTGTTATATCAATACTATGTATCTAGACTCTAAAGTTAAATTGTATTATATGACAATAGTTAAATGTATCGTACTTCATTTTTTTTCTCTTTTTTTTAATTTGGCGCCATCAATTTTTTTTATAGCTTTGTCAAGAGAGAGCGCTATCAGTAAATGAAACAAATAATTTACCAGTATTGTTATGCTTCCATCTAGGGGATGTTATTTTTATTTATTGAAAACTTTACTTATTTTATTTACTAATTTTATTTAGACGTTATTTAATTTTGATCAAAATTATTTAGTTGGTTTTAATTTATTATTCAAGTTGACAAAATATTAAAAGCTTGAAAATATGAAATTGAGGTTTACAATGACGTGATCTTAGCAATCTAAGCTCTCGATGAGAAGTGTCGTTACATAGTTTTTCCGGAGAGCTTCAAACTCCGTTCTTCTCCCACCATAACTCCCATACATATATCCACTCTTGTACATATATAAGTACACATATTTCTACTACATATAAATGATTTTCACACTAATATATAATATTTTCTATTATATTTACATACATATATTTATAAATTATATATATTGCAGTTGATTAATATTCGTATTTTGCAAATTAGATTAAGTTTATTACTATTTCTATCAATCTATAATTTATTAAAACTATGAAATAGTTTAATTGTTAATGTAAGAGATAAATATCATTTAATAATATTATTTTATAAAATCTTATTCTTTTAACATTAATTAATAATTATTTATAGGTTGGATACAGGATATAAATTGTTAATTTAATTTTTATATATTTCGTTGCAATATTATATTAAAGCAAGTTTAACAAAAATATGTTATTTAACGATCTTATTCTTTGTTAGATATTTGTTACGTTATTATTTAGCCGTTGAAACAAGGGATTGCAAGGGATCATAGAATTTTCCTCACACGTGTCTTTTATGGCTTTTCCTCAGAATCTCAAGTACCTAAGGTTTCTCAGAACTCAACTACAATGTTCCTTTGTACTCGACAATAGCTTACATTTATTTAAAACAAAGTATACTCTATAAAATAAATATTCAACGATACAGAACCTAAACTTTCTAATTTGAACAGTGTTCACTATTTAAATTATGAATTAATAAAATAATTTAATATAATCTAAATTACATTTAAATTTGCACTTCACTGCTGGTAGCGTCATCTGCTGGATGCATCTAGAGGCATTACAGTATACAAATTTAGTAACATAATTTTAACACTATAATAATGTTGGTATTAAAATTGGCCACCAGGTTGACAAAATTCGATCTTTCAGTTATCTTATTGCCTTAAGCAGCCTCTCAGTTAAATTATGCTCAGTGTTTAGTGGTGCTTGGCGTAAATAAGCGTCTATCTAGTGGTTGTATTTAATTATTTAAAAAAAATAAAAAGTAAAAAAACACTAATAATTGTAATTTATTTACATTAATAATTATTTTCAAATACTAATGTTTGAATTTTTAATTTTTAATATTTCTTCTGGTATTATTATTTAAATATTTTTAATGTTTTTTTCGTATTAACTCATATTGATATGAAATAAACAGATATTAAAAACAAGTGTTCAACGTTAATAACAACTATTAGTTAATATATAAAAATAAAAGAAAAAGTTATTCGCAACAATGGTTCTTTCTCATTGTTATAGTGTTATGAAATACACTCTTGTATTTGTCAACCTTATATTTTGGGTAAGTTTATTATAATTAATATAATTTTAAAATTATTTTTTATCAATACGAACGGAGTCTTCTTTTTGTGAAGAATTAAAAATTTTAATAATTTTAAAAGACAATTATTTTAATTAATTATATTAAAAATTTCATTTTCCAAAGAAAAAAAAATTTATTGTAATTTAATGGGTGTATGTTTTGTTTAATCTTCACTTTAATTACCTCTTTTAAACTTCTGATATTTTCTTCTTGCCGATTATAAATATATTTCCCGTTTTATCTGAAATTTTTTTCTATCTATTTAATTACACGCAATAAATAATTTAATTGTTGATTAAGCTTGAACGTAAATAAGTTGTAGAAATGTCTTTTAAAAAGCAATCTAGTAAATCTAGTAAATTTTGTTGATTTCAAAAAAAAATTTGTGACGTATTTCTAGAACAAAATAGCTTTATTGATTG